CTCTTGATTTTTCCCTATCCTGCAGAAGACTTAGCTTTTATTAGAGTAATGCTAGAGCTGGGCCCTCCCTGGAGGTGCAGCAGATTAAAGTGTAGCAGGATGAAGCTGGCCACAGCCACTGCAGCAGGAGTTGGATCCCCGGCCAGGGAGCTGACCCACATGGTGCAGCAGACCTCTCCCGACCCGCCCACTGCTCCCCTCAGCAGTGCATTTCATCAGTCTGCCTGTTCTGCTCCCCACACTGTCTCTGGTGAATCCTCTCACTGCTCTGCACCTCTGAGCTGTACCCCAGTTCTGTATGCACAAATAAGTCTTAAAAAAAAAAAAAAAAGCTAGAGCCTTCATATCATGGAGATGGAGACACCTAGCGGGCGTCACCCACAACCCAGAGCATAAAATAAACGAGTGAGTCACTGTGCCATTTCTTTGACCTCTGGAAGCCTTAATAGTCATGTGATATCCAGATTTTTTATTTTCTAAACTATTTAGGTTTACTTCTAGTGTAAGAGGTAAAATCCTATGCCCAGCTCAAAAGGGCCACCACACAGAGAGGTCGTGCTGTCCGCCCTGATGGCCCAGGGCAACCCAGCCATGAAGGACATTCCAGGCTGGGGGCTCCCCCAGCGCTCTGCGGCCGTGTTTTATCTTGACAGAATTGATTCGGTAGAAAAATCTCGGTCTGTTTCAGGTCTGCAGCAGACTATAGAGAGAACTGGGTGTCTTTCCACGGGTATCTTTCTTTCACCCTGTAATCAGGGAAGAAGTAAGAAAATAGCCTGGCTCCTCGCTGAGAAAAGCTGCTGGCCCCAGCCTCAGGGGAAGCCCAGACAGTCAGTCAGGCATGATTGAGCCCTAACTGCTGGCCTCCCGCTGGATTTCTCCTTTGCAGATAGACCTTTGGGGCCTCAGCCCAAAGGACCGTGATGAATGATGGAACTTAATTTGGTCTTTTAACAATAAAGGGTAAAGTCCTTCCTTTAGGACAGTCCTATTGAGTTAATCATTATCCCAACTGCTAACTAAATGGAGAAATACTTCTCTTCTACCTTACAACTCTTTAAGAGACTTTATTTTTCAGAGTGACTGTAGGTTCATAACAAAATTGAAGAGAAAGTTCCCCGACAGTCACGACCCCATGAGTGCAGTGCCTCCCTCCCTCCTCGTCTCCCACCAGAGTGGAACCGCGATTGCAGTGCATGATCCGATGTGGACATGTCATTGCCACCTAAAGAACATTCTGGTTCATGATCAGTGAGGTGTGTTCTATCAGTGCAGACTACTTTGTAATGTGGATTTGCCACTATGGTGTCAGACAGAATAGTGTCATTGCTCTCACAGTCCTCTGCGTTCTGCCTTTTCTTTTTTTTAAAGATTTATTTATTTATGCACACAGAACTGGGGTACAGCCCAGAGATGCCGGGGTGAAAGGATTCACCAGAGACAGAGTGGGGAGCAGAATAGGCAGACTTACAGAGTACACTGCTGAGGGGAGCAGTGGGCGGGTCAGGAGAGGTCTGTCATGCCTGTGGGTCACCTCTCTGGCCAGGGATTGAACTTGTGCTGCCGTGGCTGAGGCCAGCTTCATAGTGTGGTGCTTTAACTTGATGCGCCACTAGGGAGGGCCACGTTCTACCTTTTCACCTCTCCCTCCTGGATTGTTCTTTCTGTATCTCCATAGTCTCACCTTCTCCACAATGTCACCTAGAAGGAATTGTGTGGTATGTAGCCTTTTCAGACTGTCTGCTCCCTCTTGGCAATATGCATTTAGGAGTCGTCCGTGTTAGGAGTCATCCGTGTCTTTTTATGATTTGAAAAGTCAGTCCTTTCAATACTGATGATAGTCCACTGTGTGTGTACCACAATAGCTGGATCCTTAAGTGTAGGCCGTGGGGGTCACTTCTAAGTTTTGGTAATGATGAGTAAAGCAGCCATAAACATCCACACGCGTGTTTTGTGCTCCTTCAGTGTTCTGCTCCTATTGGGTAAATGCTAAAGAGTGTGGGTGGGCACATGCCTAGTATTATTTTTTTAATTATAATAGTTTATTTTTACATCAGTTTGTGCACCTCAGTTGTCATCCCCGCGGGCTTCCCATCACCAAATCACCCATGTGCCATCACCATAGTCCAGTGCTCTCCCCGTCACCCCCTACTTTCATCCCCCCACCCACCCTCCGGTCCTTTATGCTCCTGCTATGAGTGAAGCCATCAGTATTTTTCTTTTTCTTTCTGGCTTATTTCACTAAGCATGATCCCTTCCAGCTCCATCCATGTTGCTGCAAAGGCAGCATGTGCCAAGTTTTAGGAAAAGCCTCAGACTGTCTCATTCTGTTCCTGTAGCCTGGACTCTCTTTCCCATCCTTTAGCCCAACAATCTTCCTTTAACCTTTCACCCCAGGGCTCCCCTCAGGTTGAAACACAGCCTGTCTCTCCCAGTAAACGCAGAGGCTCATTTGTGGGGGGCTCATTTGCTTCCCAGGCACATTCATGATGACCTGCTAAGGGCTTGGCCCCATCCTGCCATTCCCCCAGACTGTAAAATGCAATCCTCACGATTTTCTCTTGCTCAAAAGACTGTCCTGACAGCTATTGTTACTTGGGGTTTATTGGTCAGAAACAATGTATAGCTGTGGTTGTACTTTGCAATGAAAAAGACATCTGTCATACACAGAAGGGGCCATGGAAATGACGTCAAAGACACTCAGGAGCTTCAAGATTAAATTTTGTCTAAAAGACAGCTGCTCAGTCTGTCTTTGCTTTATGATGTTAAGGTTATCTGTTCCGGGGTTTTAAGTATTTTTGAGTAAACCAGAATTCGTCATTATGCTTGTCATGTTTCAACTGGTGTGTGGGGGAGGGGCGGGCTTGAGCAGTGCATCGCCCGCAGCACTGAGAGATTCCTGGTAGTCAACAGTATTGGCCGGTATTTCAATGGCCTGACAATTGTCAGTCTCATGTGGTTTTTATAGATTCACAGGAGGGAGGCTGAAATAGAAAAGAGGGAGCTGGTTTCCAGGGCACTGGTTCTTGGTAAGAAGGGGATGCTAAAGAGGTTAAGTTTCAGAGTCTGATTAGCAGTCTGTGAATCCAGAGTGATTCTCACTGAAGCTTTAAAGCCTCTGGCATTTGCCTGCTGAGCGAGGGTCCTGGTTTTTACCTCTGAGAAAGTGGCCACAGAGATTGCAAACCCAAACCCGCAATGCCCCTGGGGCACTCTGCAAGCTGTGGAGTCTGCTGGGCTCCTGCTCACAATTCCCTGTCAAAAGCAAACCCAGAATGTGGGAACCCCCTGAGCTGTTCTGGCTGACTAATCAACATCACTGCGAAATAGTCCTTCCTAGTGGATTCTTTCCAAAGCAAGGTAACTCCATCCATCACCAGCTAAAAAAAGCGGGAGTGAGGTCCTGGTGAGCTGAGGTTTGTGATGAGAGTCCATGACAAAGTGACCGGCAGGCAGGCGGAGGAAAGCGTGACCTCTTGCATTCTCCTGCCACACGAGCCACCTGGGGGTCTTAGGAAAATGGGGTCCTGGTTCAGCCAGTGCCTGCTGGCACCGGAGAATCTGCATTTTTTTAAAAAAAAGATTAATTTGTGCATACAAGAGCTGGGCTACAGGCTAGAAGTATAGGGGTGGGGTGGTGTGAGAAGATTCACCCAACACGGACTGGGGAGCAGAACTGGCATATCTACTGAAAGACACTGCTGAGGGAGCAGTGGGCAAGACAGGAGAGGTCTGTCAGGATAGGTCAGGTCGCTTTGTTGTGGGCTCTCATCACAAACATTCTCAGTTCACCAGAGGTCTGCACCATGTGGGTCAGCTCTCTGGCTGGAGATTGAACTCAATAATAGCACTGACTCTAACCCCTGTGCCTCCTGGGAGGTCCCGATTCTGTATTTTAAAACAACAGATACTGCCCATCTTCAGGCTATACTTTGAGTAAACAGCCTCCTACTTCATAACAGATTATGAACTTGTCCCCCAGAGCACTCTGATGAAATGATGATACCAGATGGATAGGCCACTCTGATTTCTGTTTCTGCTTTATGCACAAGCAAAGTGGCATGTCACAAAAGTCATTTGAAAACAGTGCCAGATTGAGTTGCTCTACTTAAGGGTTGAAATTGCCATGGCATTAACTTTACTGATGTTCCTGATTATTGAATGAAGTTGTCGTTGGGCCCTCGGTGGTGGCACTATGAGGCTATCACAGCCACTGCAGCACAAGTTCGATCCCCAGCCAGGAAGCTGACCCACATGGTGCTGCAGACCTTTCCTGACCCGCCAGCTGCTCCGCTCAGCAGTGTATTTCAGGCAGTCTGTCTGTTCTGCTCCCCACTCTGTCTCTGGTGAATTTTCTCACCCCCTGCACCGCTAGCCAGTTCTGTATGAATAAATAAATCTTTTTCTAAAAATGTCTGTTGCCGGCATATATCAGGAGAAACAGTAGTTTTCAAATTTTTTTAAACTAGAAGTTTCACATGGACCATCACTTCAGGTTAAAACTTGAAAACAAGGGCTGTCTGCTTTAGGTTAAGACCACCCTAGATTTGGGGGTAGACTGAGGCACAGACTGTGAAGCAGCATCTCTGGCTTTGAGTCCAGCAAGTTATGTCCCTCACTGGGCACGATGACCCACTTGTCTGTCAGCTGGGTCTGCAGTCTACAGGGGTTACTGGATCAAGAAAGTGACTATTCGTAACTGGGCCAAGTGTAAATGTAAACTACAGAAGTGCCAGGCATTTCTCCCAGGCACAGTGCGAGGAGGTGAATGTTTGTTGATTGACTAACTGTGTTAATATGTCTGAGCTCAGTGCCCAGACTCCTGTGGAACCCAGAGGTCTCCTCTTTGTTTTTTTGTTTGTTTGTTTGTTTGTTTGTTTTAATATTCCATAGGTAACTGAGGTTTCAGCCAACAGAGAACCCCAAAATAAACTCATGCAATCTGGGTGCTTGCACTTTGCTTCTTTGGTCAGGCTCACCTCCCTGCTTTGGTTTTACAGCTGGTGATGTATGTGGGCCAGGTGGCCAAGGATATCTTGAAGTGGCCCCGCCCATTCTCGCCACCTGTGGTAAAGCTGGAAAAGAGGGTCATGGCTGAGTTCGGGATGCCGTCTACCCACGCCATGGCAGCCACTGCTATTTCTTTCACGCTCCTTATCTCGACGATGGACAGATACCAGGTAAGGCCGCCTGACTCTCACGCCCCCTCACACTGCCTGTAGAGCGAGGCAACAAAGACAGCTTCTCCTTCAGAGTTTTCTTTTAAAACTGCTTTAAGCTGGCCCTCCCTGGTGGCGCAGTGGGTTAAAGCACAGCACTAAGAAGCTAAAGCCACTGCAGCATGAGTTCGATCCCCGCCTGCCCCGGAGGAGATCCACATGGCGTGGCAGACCTCTCCTGACCCGCCCGCTGTTCCCCTCAGCAGTGGACTTCGTCAATCTGTCTGTTCTGCTCCCCACTCTGTCTCTGGTGAATCCTCTCACCACCTCTGAGCCTCTAGCCTCTGTACCCCAGTTCTGTATGCATAAATAAATCTTTAAAAAAAAAACTGCTTTGAGGACCCTCCATGGTGGCTTAGGGGTTAAGTCTCAGTGCTGTTGGTGACCTGAGTTCAATCCCCAGCCAGGAAACTGACCCAAATATGGCGTAGCAGACCTCCCCTGTCTCCCTGTTGCTCCCTTCACCAGTGGATTTCAGTGAATCTGCCTGTTCTGCTCCCCACTGTCTCTGGTGAAGTCTCTCAGCCCCCGCACCTCTGGCCTATACTCCAGTTATTCTATGCAAAATAAATAAAACCTTATAAAAATGAATAAATAAAACTGATCAGAGAGGCTTTGAAGTTCAGGAAATAAAGGTTAAAGGGAGCTGAGCCAGTCTGGGCCACCAGTGAGCATTTCTTCATAGATAGTGACTGTCCAATTTAGCATCTACCTCAAATTGTGCTGAGAGTGATAATGACACCAGTGTTCACGGTGACACCAGCAGACATGGGACATAGCCACTCCAGGAGACCAGGGAGAGTGGCCTCCCAGCTCCAGAAGCATTTTCTCCCTGAGCCAGCTGACTAGACAGCACTTGAACTAGCGTCTCATCCTGTTGGCCTCAGACGCAGGCAGTTAGTGATCTAGTAAATGACCCTCCAGGGCTGAGACGATCCCACCAAATCCTCCTGCTAGACAGCCGACCCAGGGGCAGAAAAGCTGCACCCCAAATTAGCCCCTAAGGATGCCTCCGCCCCTGGCTGGAGCTCAACTGCTAGAAATAATCCCTCCATGTTTTCTACAAAACTGTCTAAATGACAGATTAATAAATGTGGAAAATGAAAGCATTTCAATTAATATCTGCTTAGATGCCAATTATAAGGAGACGTTGTAAAAGTCGTATCCTGACCCCAGCGAGGCCGTGTTTTTGAGTTGGGAACGCTTGCACTAAGTTTGTGTGTAATGTCATGCACCTCACCTTTTACCCATTGGAAGATTTCATTACTCTAACGAAGCTGACTTACATGTGAATGACAGTCACTTTTCTCCTTGCCCCTTTTCCCCAGAAACCTGGAGGGATGATTACTCTTTGGGGTGAGAGGAGTGTCAGCCTGATGTGGTTCTGGAGGAGGATGGGCTAAGTCTTGGGCCCTGCTCCTTCCTCTGTCCCTGGAGCCAGTCCTCACCTTCCTGACGGGGGGAGGGAAGCTATCAGGGGCATGTCTGACTCAGTGTATAATGGTTGTAACTTGCTTAAATGTCACTCAGGATGAAAAATCTCTGCACCCGCTCCGAGTAGCTGAGTCATGTTGGTGGAACGCTGTGCTGTGCTATGGTTGACCCCGGGGGGTGGGGGGTGCTGCTGTGAGGGACCCCTCACATGAGGATGTTGCTTAGGAAAAGAGCAGTAAAAGACTCATCACCATTCTTTATAGACTTTTTTTTTTTTTTTTTGCATAGAAGAACTAGGTGTAGACAAGAAGAACAGGGGTGAGAGAATGCACCAGAGACAGAGTGGGGAGCAGAACCAGCATGTTCACTGAAATTAACTGCAGAGGGGAGCAGCAGAGGAGATAGGAGAGGTCTGCTGTGCCATGTGGGCCAGCTTCCTGGTTGGGGCTCTAACGCAGGTGGTAGCATTGATAGCGGTGAGACTTAGCCCCTAGGCTACCAGGGAGGCCCTATATACTCATTTTAAGACCACGTGGTCCTTCTTACAAAATTCTTTTCACTTCTCCCCCCCTGAAAAGAGATACAACATTTTTCACAAGGCCCAAGCTGTCACAGTCGTCTTTCCTATTAAACATGATCAATAAGAATAAATTATTTGGGTCATTTGTTCAAAGCAACTCTAAATACAGCCTCACTTGCCTATGTTGAGGCTCATGCCCAAACTTTAATTTCTGAATGCCTGAATTCATGAAATTCCAAAGCTTTTCCTTAAATGAAAATCTGAGGTTCAGTTACTGGTAAAATTGAAGAAAAGACATACAACCACATGGCGTTATAGTCACCCTCAGGCAAACAGGCCAACACTCCCCCCCCCAACAGCGGAGCTGGCTGTTCCCAGGCTCTGTCGCCTCAGCACATGAGCAACAAGTGGCTGGGGCAGCCAAGTGCCAGCCTCGCCTGTCCACCTTGTCCTTTGCTCAATACTCAGTGTTTCATCAATTATCTCTAAAAGTAGATAGACATAATAGTATTTTTTCCATGAGACCTGCCAGCCCAGCAGCTCGGGCCACGCATCTTAAAGCCAGTTTCTACTGTGTCTTAGTGTCTTGAAGCATCCTTCCAGGACAGCATCCGGACACACCTAACCCCCTCTTAATCCCCTCTCCCGGCTCGGGGTTGCCCAGTTTGTCTCTGGCTTCCACACACCGGGCGCCGCTACAGGGGTGCAGGACCCAGAGCAGCCGCTGGGGGCGCTGTTCCCTTGCCGGCCCCAGGTAGCACCTGCGAGCACAGCCTCACCTGTCCCTTCTCTTCTGCCCCTCAGTACCCTTTCGCCCTGGGCCTGACGCTGGCCGTGGTGTTCTCCGCCTTGGTGTGTCTCAGCAGACTCTACACCGGGATGCACACGGTGCTGGTAAGGCTGCGAGTCGGGACGTGCTCGGGATGGAACAGGCCTCACGTGCCTGTTCTGGGGCTCTTTGCTGTGTGATTATATTCCCCATCCGGCCAGTGAGGGGCGTGATCACTACTTCATGGGGCACGCGTTATGATAGGAATGAGACCTCAAGATATTATCCAGGAGGCTGAGCTGGGCTAGACCATGCAACTGGAGAGTGGCCGCAACAGTGATGGAGACACGTGTCCTTTATCCTCACATGGTTGGCTAATGTCAACCCAGCAGCGCCAGAAAACACCCAGAGTCGGGAAGTGACTGGGTGGACGCAGTGTCCTGCTGAGGTTCCTGTAGAGCTGGGCCTGAAGCTCCAGGGTCTTCGCTGCTCTCACGGGGAAAGGGGTCCTCAGAATTGGGGTTCACTTCCTTTGTGCTGTTCAGTAGCAGGCACAAGGAGATCCTTGCTTGAAAGTCCGCGTTTTGCCACGTTAGGGACTGTTTCCAGGGCAGGGGTATTAGCACAGTCTACACCGCCTCGGAATCCTGTTTTCCGTGCTGGTCCACTGCTCTGCACTCCAGAGCAGAGAGCTGGACTGGTTACTGCAGGGCGATTCAGCGTTGTAATCAGTGCGATAAGGACTTTTCTTTCTTTAAAAAGGAATTGTTCCTTGATAATGAGCTCTCGTATGAACTCAGAAATGGGGCTGGAATAGACCTCGGGGCCAAAGTCCCTGGCTGGGGGCTCTTTCTGGGGCCTCATTGGCTGTTACAGGTGGGAGGGGAGGGGAGAAGTGAACAGGTTTGGGGGAGAGTTGATCAAAAGTTAAGAGAGAGGCCAAGAACCAGCAGGGAGAAAGCCCTGAGAAAGGGGCTGTAGCTTCAGGGAATTCTGTCACAGTCCAGCCTCGCTTTCTTCTTAAAAATACAAACCCTGGGCTCTCCCTGGTGGTGTAGTGGGTTAAAGCACTGCATTATGAAGTGCTCCGAAGCCCCTGCAGCACGAGTTTGATCCCCAGCCCTGGAGGTGATCCACGTGGCACGGCAGACCTCTCCTGACCCACCCACTGCTCCCCTCAGCAATGTACTTTGTCGATCTGCCTGTTCTGCTCCACACTCTGTCTCTGGTGAAGCCTTTTACCCACCACAGCTCTGGCCTGTACCCCAGTCTGTACGCATAAATAAAGAAATCTTTAAAAAAAAAATTGAAACCCAAACAAAGACAAGAAAGTAGAATGGCTGAAGTGAATAGAAGGCAGAGAAAACCCACCTCGGGCAGTTGCAGCTGCTACTTTTTCTTTCCCTTTTAAAGTGGGTTGAGGCTTCGGAGAAGCAGGTATTTGTGGGAAAAGCCTGTCAGACCTGTGGTTCTGATGCCTGGAGCCCATTTAGTGCCTCTTTGGGGGGTCTTGTCCCAGGAGAAGCTGGAGCTGGGGGTCGGCACACCACTGCTCCTGTCCCACCATCGCTGCTGGGAGACTCTGCATTCAGAATTTACTTCATAAAGATCTTAGACCCTTGCAGACCCAGGCCCCACGAGGGCCACTGGCCAAAGCCTGACCCAGCACAACGCTTCGTGGCTTCCAGTAGCAGGAGGGAGTGGTTGGTTTGCAATGCTGGAGGAAGCCGAATTATGCATTGTACGTCTTCCTTATTTAGCTGCCACTTAATAAGCCTGGAGTGAGATTAGGTGACACTGAGGTAACACAACCTGTGTTGCCCTCCTGGCTCTAGTTCACTAGTAGAGACACAGGTATGAGCTGTGAGGTCTTAATACCATGAGCACTATAAATGGCATGACAGAGGGGGCCACCTCAGATGGCACAACTTCTCTGGACCCTTTACTTTCAGGGACTGCCACATACCAGTGCGTCTCAGCCCTGGCTGCAGACTCAGATCCCAGGAATGCTTTGAAAAAAAATCTCTGGGGGTATCTCAGCACATGCATTTATGGCCTGAGCATCATTCACAACAGCCAAAAGGTGGAAGCAACCCATATCCCCATTGAGAGATGGGAGGGCGAACAAAACGGCCCACCCACACAATTGGGTTATGATCCAGCCTTAAAAAGAAGGATTTTCTGGCCCTCCCTGGTGGCGCAGCGGGTTAAAGCACAGCACTGAGAATTTGAAGCCACTTCCGTATGAGTTCGATTCCCGCCTGCCGCCTGCCCCTGAGGAGACCACATGGCGAGCCAGACCTCTCCTGACCCGCCCGCTGCTCCCCTCAGCAGTGTACTTCGTCGATCTGCCTGTTCTGCTCCCCACTCTGTCTCTGGTGAAGCCTCTCACCGCCCCTGAGCCTCTGGCCTGTACCCCAGTTCTGTATGAATAAATAAATAAATCTTTAAAAAAAAAAAAAAAGGATTTTCTGACGTAGGCTACTGCTGGGTGAAGCTGGAAGACCTGATACTGGGAGAAAGGAGCTAGTCACAGAGGACAGACACTCTGAGTCCATCGACAGGAGGCCACGACACTGGTCAGGATCCACGACACAGGCAGATGAGAAAAGTTCTGGCTCTGAATGACCATGATAGTTATATAACCATGTGAAGTACTTACCGCATCCCAACAGCCTGACAGTCACCAGGTCCTATCAGTTTTATTTTATTTTTTTAAAAGATGTCTTTATGCAAACAAGAGCAGGAGTGTAGGCCAGAGGTGCAGGGGCGGTGAGAGGATTCTCCAGAGACAGTGGGGAGCAGAACAGGCAGATCTACTGAAACACACTGCTGAGGGGAGCAGCAGGAGAGATGGGCGAGGTCTGCTGCGCCATGTGGGTCAGCTCCCCGGCTGGGGATTGAACTCATGCTGTAGTGGCTGCTGATAGCTTGATAGCACCAAGACGTGAACCCCTCTGCTGCCAGAGGGGTTGAATTGAAATAACACTGCCTTGTAACTTCATAAAAGCTTCACTTGTTCATCCGTGAGCATCAACATGGGCACCTACCATGGGCACCTTCGAGTTTGGAAGCTGAATGTCTTAGAGCTGTTCTCACACCACTGCCAGGATTCCCAGTTGGATTATGTCACTCCAGGCATGGAGGACAATTTTCTTCACCTGCTGGATGTGAGAGTGATGAGACCAAAACCCCAAGTGCAAGTGGAGGCCATTGGGGGTAACCCCACGGGTGTCCTTTGAGAACAGTCAGTACTGATCTTGTAAGACAGAGAATAAAGCACAGTGGCCCTGATGATACCATGAACCCAGGACCACACGACCTTAGGCTCACTAGTCAAGGTGAAAATTTCCTTTTAGCTCAGCTGATGTTTATTGTAATTGGGGTCTTAGTCAGGTGTCTCCAGCCACAATTTGCTGGTGTTTCATTTCATATTTTGGTTTGAAGAGTAAACCAACTTCACCCAGCTAAAGGATGGAGAGAGACGAAAGAGTAGGTAGAAAGACTTGAAGGGTCTGGGTAGCTCATGGAATCCAATATGGTCGCCAAAGTCAGTCTCAAGAAGGGTCCGAGCCGCATTGACCTTGAGAGTATCCTCCTTGAATTCTTCAGAGTGCCAATGCCTTACACAGCCCTGCTCGCTCAACTTCTCTCTCAGACAAGAATTTGAATCAAGTACTACCCATGGGTCGGTTAGCCAGGCAGGGGGACAGGGTCACAGAGCAGAAATGGGGGCTTGAAAGCCACATTACCTGGCACTAGGACTAGGAAGGAAGACCACCCAGGAAGTTCACGGCCCCTGAGAATGCCCAAATCAGTGGTTACCATCAGCACAAATCAGGACGCCTTCAATGCCACAACAGACTCCTGAAGCTCAAGCTCACTTAAGCTTAAAGGGCAATGCATTGTTTTTCCGACCATGGTGTGGGAAGCAGAAGTGGGCAAGGTCTAGGATTTCATTGAACGTTGCCCACATTCTTGCCTAAGCTTCCCTTCGTGTGTCTCTGCATGGTAAATCCATGCTCTTGAGCTGCCTTCTCTTCAAGGCTGCCTCCAGGGAGCTCTGGACCCCAGTTCTTGGCTTCACTCCTGAGGTGGTTGCCGTGGAGAAAATTCCAGGAAAGGTCTCTCACTGGACAGACCTGAATTAAACTCGCTGCTGCAGCCATGGCTGTCCAGAGGGGTGAAGGACTGTGACTGGACCAGCTGGGTCCCCAGCCTATGTGAGCAAGGGCCATGATTGGCCTTGGGGGTTAGGGTTGGGCTAGTGTGGCATGTAGGAAGAGCCATGCTCCAAAGTAAAGGGTAAGCAGCAGAGGGTAGACGTTGCTGCAGGGAGTTTCTTTTCTATAGACATTCTTGTATTTTTTCCTACTTTTGAAGACTCAACTTGACATGATGTTGTGCTCGTGTTGGGCAGGGGGGAAAGACCCAAGTACATGGAAAAGACTCAGCTTGCTATATTTATAATGCCCAAAATTAACCACCTGAAACAGACTTTGCCCTTTGACTAAGGAAGCAATTCCAGAATATTTCTTTTTGTTGGGTTAGTGGATATTTATTTGTGAATAAACAATGACTGGTTGTTCCATGGTTTTGAACTTGAATTGGCCAAAATGCTGCTCTCTTTCATTGTCCCCACGGTACTTGATCTGTGTGTAATTATAGATATTAGGCCTTATTTGCTTACTCATTTGTTTCTCCCCTCACCCCCAAGTATTGCTTTCGTTTTGGTTGGAATTGGAGAATGTTGAAAAGGCTTCTCAAATATTAAATTATCTGCAGACCATACAGAGCTGTTCTGGCTTTGGAATAGAGCATTTGGGGTGTCTTTTTCCACGTTGCTTGAAACCACTTTAAAAAATTTACTTCAAACTGCCTTATTTCCTGTGGAGAAGGAAGCTAATTGGCACATAGATGACACCCTAGCAAAACCTCACCTCTGCCCTCCTCTCTTGGATGGGTCTGTTTCTGAGAAACACAGGGGTTCGGTCTTTCTAAGCAGCCCCCAAGTTATTATACCCACTGATTTCTCTTTACCTTGCAGAGGAATGTATTTTACCTTTTTGTAAAAACAGAAGGGTAAAATACATATTTCTGCTTTTAAAGGTAGTTTTTGTTTTAT